TGCTTCGGAGCTTTATTTTACACGTTAAACACGTTTACTTAAAATATTTTAGCAATAAAAATAAGATTTTTTACCTTTATAGTGAAGTAGTTCACTAAGGAGTTCATTTAGTACAGCCACCAAAACACAAGTAGTCAATGTTCTACAGTATTGCATACATAGTTTATAATCAATTATCATTTTATTTAAACTCTAACTCCTTGCTACCTGTATCTCAATCTGGTTTCGGTCCTGCTCACAGTACTGAAATCTCTACTCAAAATACATAATGATGTCCTTCTCTCTAGTGATAATAGTAATCTTACTCTTAACTTTCCCTCTGCTTTTGATACTCTTGATAAACTAATTGATTGACTGACTGACTGACTGACTGACTGACTGACTGACTGACTGACTGACTGACTGACTGACTGACTGACTGACTGACTGACTGACTGACTGACTGACTGACTGACTGACTGACTGACTGACTGACTGACTGACTGACTGACTGACTGACTGACTGACTGACTGACTGACTGACTGACTGACTGACTGACTGACTGACTGACTGACTGACTGACTGACTGACTGACTGACTGACTGACTGACTGACTGACTGACTGACTGACTGACTGACTGACTGACTGACTGACTGACTGACTGACTGACTGACTGACTGACTGACTGACTGACTGACTGACTGACTGATCTATAAACATTTATGTGCGTACAAGTACATACTTATTCATACAGGTGTATTTGCTTTTTCGTATACACATATGTCCATCGTCCACATTCACATATATTTATCGCATACACATAATCACACATAAGCACCCATACACATATATACGCATTCATACTTACACATAATGGAATGTAGACAGAGGAACAAGTGTAACGAATGAAAGAATGTATGAATATATAAAAAATGAATGAATAAATGGATGGATGGATGGATGGATGAATGAATGAATGAACGAGCAAACGGAAGAATGAATGAATGAACGAACGAAAGAGAATTGTCGAATAACTCTTCTCCACTCAAGTGCAAGGTAGTAAAATAAGATTAAGCCTCGTTGAATGACCATGACCACATACAGTCTTGTCGCTAATAATTATAAAACTAGGTACATTGATAATAATAATAACAATATTAATAATAATAATAATAATAACAACATTAAATAAAAATAGTAATAATGATAATTATAATAAAATATATTGTAAATCATAGATAGCTTTAAATAGATATACGAAACGTCATGACTCTGTTTTAGAAGTAATGACTGGTTGGTTGAAATCTCTTAAAAAGTCCAATCGAAACTTGTTTGCAGGTGTTATGACGACTGATTTTAAACCAATCTCAGATATTTTCGAACCATCATATCGCCCGGACATCAGCATAACGGAAAATAGAATCGTGTAGGTACTAGAACTCGCAGTTTGCCACGAGAATAATTATTGTAAAAAGCAAGCAATACAAATTTAACAGATACAAGGATTTGAATGTCTAACTTCTCATGAAATATGAAGATTTTATTGTCAAATTATTTTCCTGGGATGTATCCACACTGGGCTCAGATCATAAAAAAACTGATAAAATGCCTTAAGCTACCACCTTCGAAAGATGATAAACTCATATAATTTATGAGGAAGGTTATAATTCAATCGTTTGACATGCATTGTACTATGAACAACTTATGACTAAATCTTTCGCATGGAGATGCTAAATAAAATGAGTCTTGATAATTACGTAAATTAAATAATAATTAACAGTTTTCCCTCTTCTTATTATTATCGATTTGATGTTTTTTTTTTAATTTTATGTCGATTTTTCATATAAAAGGTTTCCATTAACTTTATTGTTTTTTATTATTTTAATATTTAATATAAATATGATTATTTATATTATTATTAGTAATAGTTATAATAATAAAAATAATGTTTTATTTTCAAATGTAGTTGAATTTTCAAAAAGTAAAAGAAGTTCCCATCATTATTTTTATTATTCATGTTATTATTGTTATTATTATTTTGTTCGGTGTTCACAGTTTTCAAAACTGGTTGTTAATGAATCCGGGATTTAGCCAGATCCCAACGATCCCAAATAGATCCGTCCAAGTAATTACTTTTCTTACAATTACTTCACTACTCAGTAATTAAATTTTCTCAAACTCAGCCAGCGCTGTTCCTCCAGGCTTCATGTTTCATGTTTCAATATTGTTATCATTGCTATTTTTATTATTATATTTTTTATTATATTTTTTATTATTATTACACACACACAACAAACACACACATACACAACACACACACAGGTATATATGTAGTTATATATATATATATTCATATATATATATATATATATATATATATATATATATATATGTGGGTGTGTGTGTGTGAGTGTGTGTGTATACATATTCGTATATATATATATATATATATATATATAACATATCAGAAGAAAATACAACTAATTTATCAACCTGAAAAATAACTACATTTTAAATTTTATTTTGTTTAGAAAATATTTTTTAATCGGATGCCATTTTATTTGGAATTGTTATAACAAGCACTCCGGGGTTAACAAAAATTTTTAATTATTTCTCAGAATTCGCAAAATTTTTTTGCAATTTAAAACTTTTTCGTTAACAATATCTTTGAAAATATAAGCATATTTAAGATGCATACTTTCATGTATGCAAATATTTTTTGATCCATCATTTGACCAATCACTCATCAGCTAACAACAACTTTATTGCTCACAACAACATCAACAAAAGACAGCATCAACACAGACAAGGTTATCGTTGGAGGATTGAAGTTCGATCGTGTGAGTCAGACTCTAAAAGATCTTCATTAGCTGAATGTGGAAAAACGGATAATTTTTAAAATGTGTATCTTGATGTATAAAGCCATGAATGGAATCTTGCCCAGATATTTATTAGAAATAATCAAGAAAAAATCAGTGACCATAGATGGCATTCGCTTGAGAAGTGATTGCTCAAATTTAATGATAGCAAACAGTGCTCACTTGTGTATTGGTGCACGAGGGATTGCTGTTGCGGGTCCAGTGTTATGGAATGGTCTTCCAGAGTCCCTGAAGAAGCCGGAAATGAACAAGGATGCTTTCAAGAAGAATCTCAAGACTTATTTGTTTTCGATTTGGTTTTTGTTTCGTTATTATGTACACGTACCCAAACAATTGTTTATTCTTTCGACTATAAAGTAGCGCTTTTGAAATTTTTTCTTTTTTTTTTAATTGGCGCGTTTTGATATAAATAAATAAAAATAAGCAACAGCAATAGCCCAATAGCAACCAAAATAACATCAACAACAAAAACAAAGACATCATACGAACCATCAACATCAGCCAGAGCAACAACCTTTCTGTATGAGCAGGTGCAAAACTAATAACTTTTTGCACTTGTCTTATTCTGTAATAATGCAGCCAACAGCATTTAAATCTTTTCTAACCTTGAACAAACATCCAGCTTCCACATAAAAACCATCATCCCTCCAAGCTTACCACAGCGATTTCAAATAATAGAATGATATGTATTGTTCACTGTATATACATCACCAAACTTAGTGGAATTTTGTTACAGCTGTTCTTCGATGTTAACAAGTTGATCATCACAATTCGATGTATACACTTTTCAAAGAGGTGTGACTGTCAGGCAGGAAGCCTACAGCATGCCTGAAGAATGTTAATACATAGCCGCGCAGAGCAAGATTCGTAATGGTTGTGTGTGGCTGGATAGAAATAAAAAGGATTGTGTTGATTTAGCAAAACATAGCTACAGGGATACAACGGCTTTGTAAGGAAATATAAAGCTAAATTATGAATAGTAGATCAACACCGCTGAAAAGTCATCAGTCATTGAGAAGCGTTCGAGTGATCAACGAACGTGGCCCTGTCCCCTGAGAATGTGAGAAAGTTGTTCAGGGCAGAAACATGTGTCGACGGAGATTCCTCCTCTGAGGACTTCTCGAAGATTTGGCTCAAATAAGTTCTCACCTATATACATATACATACATACACGCACGCACACACACATACACACATACATACATTCATAGTAATAAAATGTTTGTCGGTTCAAATGTATGCATATATGTATGAGTGTGTATGTGTAAAATTGTATATGCATGTATGAATGAGTGTATCTGTGCATGTTAAATGAACACTAAAAGTATTGAATAAGACAACTCATCATATGCATACGCACTGGATTGAACGCTGTCATCGCGATATAGTCGGTGATCATTTTACCCCTAGGTCATCATATTTATAAAATTTATATTTTGAACAATTTATAATTAATATTTTTTCATAACTTTTTCCAAATCAACTTAAAGTTAAGCCTATTTTGAAATTAGGAGTTTTCAATTTGAAATGAATAACTATAAATGCGGAATTAAATTTTTTTAGACACTTGATGTGCTTTTTAGCGTTGCTTCGTGAATATTTATATGCCATATATTTTTTAAAGAGGAAATTAAATTTTTAGTTCATTAACTTTAAAAAATTAAGCCGTCATATATTGAAAAATATTTTTTGAGTTTTAATTTTACTCGTTTATATTAAATTTTTAGTAAACAAAAAATTCAAGTTACTCTATTGATACTACCGCTTTTGCTAATACTGTCTTCCTCACAATGGCATGATGGCCTAGTGGTTAAGGTCGACTGGTGTTGTTTCGCAGTAACCGGGTTCGAATATGTCAAAAAGATTCTTGCGCCGTATTCACATAAGGTGTTTGTGCGCGTTGCTGATTTTTTTGAACATAGGAAGAGTATAATTGACCTTTAACCCTTTTTAACCCACAGCTAATGCTTCCACCGCTTCTGTTATTACTACTACTGCTGCTGCAATTTTGCTACGCATACTAAAAACTAAAGATTAAAAAAACAATATTTGGGTCAATAATAATATTTATATTGTCCTAATGATAACAACAATAATAATCATAATAGTAATAATAACATATAAACATTTTTTTAAAAACATGAACAGCATCAATAATGATAACGTTAAATATAATTGTAATGGTCAAGCGTTTTTAAATAATAGTGCGGTCATTATTTACGTATGGGCGACATCTTCGCCGGTGGTGGAAAAAAAATTGCGAAATAAATGATTTATGTCGCAATTATAATTTTTTGTCAACATCATCATCGTCGTCCAGTTGCGGGTTTAGGTGTGGAGGCCGTGGGGTGCTTCTCCCCCCCATGTTGTGAGAGTTATTTGTATCAAAAGTTAGTAAAAGTGGTTGTTTTAACGGGAAGAGTAGCGTTTTTGAGGGAAAAATTAATCTCACCGGAAAAGTTGCTCGCCCCCAGTCAAAGTCGTCAAAAGCTGTCATTATTTTCATCAGTCACCACCACAATTATCGTCATCATCGTCATCTCCACCATTTCGTCAGGGATGACATCATAACCAGTTTTTAATCATCCCCATCATCATCTTCTTCGGAGACACCAACAACGTTTCTCTCCTTAATATCTTTCAGTCGTCAACAACAAACACACAGTGCATGTAAATACACGTGGAAAATCAGTGTCGTAGTCGGTTGCAGTCGGTTGCAGTTGCAGTCGCAGTCGGTCGCAGTCGGAGATTTTTGCCGACACACTGGAAACAACGCATCCCCCAGATTGCATGTGATAGGCGGGGATCTCTTTGCAATCGAACACGGTCACAGCAATAACAATGTCAGTCTCTCTACCGTTACGCCAATCACATCTTAAGCAGCTTTTATTCATAACGGTAATGATCATCATCGTCATCATCATCATCATCGTCATCATCATCATCATCATCATCATTCTCATTGATATCGTAATCAATGACACCATCGTCACTGTTATCAAACGTTCTATACAAATTTAAATAATTCATAGATCCCAGTTGAAGGGCGCCATTTTATATTTTTATCTGTCATTTTAGTTTTTGCCAATTTTATTAATTCCAAGTTAGTTTCCGGCATGTTTGTATTCTGCCATTTTTATTTCCGCCATATTTATTCACGTTCCTGAAGCTTTTTTTCTTGTTTATTTGAAAATTTTTTCAGACTAAATTGTTTTCGCTGCACAGATATTGCCGCTTATTCCCTGCAATAATTCATTCGCAAGACAGCATGGAATTCGCCGTACAGATATATAGTAGCCCAGTGGAAGATCTGGGGGGAAGGCGGGATAGCCAGTGTTCTCCCGTAGTTGGTAGTATGCGTATAAAGTCAGTGAAAGTCAGTTTAAAGAAAAAGCAAAGTTTTTACCATAAAATCAACCCTAGTCAAAGTTGTCTAGATCCGTCACTGTAGTAGCCACATTGAAGGCAGCTATTTTTTACTGTCGAGTTGTTGAATTCCACATTTCCACAATCCAACATTGATGAAGATTGCTGTCACGGCCATTTTATTTGTGGTCATTTTTGAAATTTTTCATCTTTTTTCAGTTTGACAACTGAATCGAGTGATATTTGAGAACTTGTTGCTATGTGCAGCGTCTGCCGTCAACAACCACACTGTCCGTCTATTGATAGTCTTTGGTCGTTTCCTGTGCTTAAGTCATTGACAAAATTTATGTTGTCAGAACGATGCCAGGCATTTTCAAATTGGGTTTCTATTGCGTTAGTTTTCATTTCGTTCTTTCGAGTTCTTTGTGTTTGACTCTGTTGTTTTGACTTCTTTGTTTTTGATTTTGTTATTTTTTCTTTGTTTTATCGATTTTTTCATTTTTATTATTATTTTAGTGTTTGTAACTTCATGTTCATTGGTTTGAAGATAAATTTCAAGAGTCTTTACTCATAAATGTTTAAATTGTTTTAATATAGGAAAGTTAATCCATAATATTTATTGATGCACTACTACTACTACTACTACTACTACTACTACTACTACTACTACTACTACTACTACTACTACTACTAGTACTACTACTACTACTACTACTACTACTACTACTACTACTACTACTAGTACTACTACTGCTACTACTACTACTAGTACTACTACTACTAATACTACCAAAACAATACTGTTAGTATCAATAACAGTATTATTATTATTATATCCAATAAAGGTAAAAATGTTAATTACATTAATTTATTTATGTAATCATTTATAACATCAATGGGCTCTTTCTTTTTTTCTGCAGTGATTGATTGATAGATGGGCTCGCTCTGCTAGGTCTGCTAAGCAAGAAAAAGTTCATGATTAAGAAATATTGAGTGGCAATAATATTAATAAACAATGAGAACATTAATAATTGTAATAAATATTAAAAGAATAATAATATTAATAATATAATGATAATAATTTTTTTGAAAATCCAAACAAGATGAAAAAAGTTAACGTGAAGACAATCTTAGAGAGTCGTAATAATTATAAAATTAAAAGGTTAAAAGAAAGTTATTGAAGAATATTTAAAAATGTAACGTGCATTTTACCATCTCAACAGATATGGCGAGTACATGGCGATTGTTATCTTCATCTAAAGAAATAGGCTATAAAGATTTCTCATTCAGATTAATAATTATAATGAATGACTATTAACAATAACATTAATAAATCAAAAAAAAATGCTTAAAAATTGAATAAACTTTAACGAAATAATATACAACGCTAACAAATAATTACATACACACACACACACACACACACACACACACACACACACACACACACACACATACACACACACTTGCAAAGAAATTCCCTCCTATCGCTTAATAAATTATTGATAATAATAATAATAATAATACATACATACATACATACATACATACATACATACATACATACATACATACATACATACATACATACATACATACATACATACATACATACATACATACATACATACATACATACATACATACATACATACATACATACATACATACATACATACATACATACATACATACATTGGTTTTAACATACATACATATACATACATACATACCTAAAATATATATATATAGTTTGCAGCACTTCTCTTGGTTAAAATGGCAATCGTCTCGAATTTGTCGTTCACTACTAAGCCAACTGCCATCTCATATTTTCGCGAAGATTTATTTGCGAATTATTTTCGTGAATATTTTTTGCGCGACTTTTTTTCACGATTTTAAATGAAAAAACCCCGAAAAACAACCTTCATAATTTAATTCTTGGTGATTGAAAATAACACAAAAAAGAAATTATTTTAATTGTTCCTTTCTCAAACAATTGAATAATTATTTATTTTTAATTATCGAAAACATATTCATTAGCATTGCTAAGATAAATGCGTTTTTAAGAGCAAATTCAAGTAGAAAACTATTTCTCGAATTAAATTTAATTATTTTTACAACATTTTTAATCGTATTTATAAGAAAAATAATTAATAATTTCTATTTAATCAATAAAACACTAAATCTCTAATCTAATCAATCAATTAATTAATCATTTAATTGGTCAATTAAGTTACGAACTAACTGGTGAGCGGTTGATGATGAGCCAGTGAATAGGTTAGTAATTGTATTTATAATTCCAATAATTTTATTCATTTACAAGCATTTTAATTATTAATGTTAATATGATTGTTAGTGTTGTTATTTTATTATGAGTAATAATATTAATAAATAATAGTAAAATCATCATTAATTTTATGTCAATTATTGTTTGTTCTTCTTATTATTAATATTATGCCGCATTGCGCGCTTTGTTCAGAAAATTTTTTAATCTTTCAAACAAGATTTTTCAACTTCAAGATTTTGTTTAGCTTTGTTATAAAGTTAAGTAACTAAACACTAAAATCATTGTACATATAGAGCGTTACCTGGAACTAGCAATTTAAACTAAACAATAACGACAATTCTAATGCAAGTTCGGAAAATAACATTTTAACAAATTCATAATCTGGATACTAGATTAAGTATTATTAGTCTAGTATCTAGATTAATTATTATTATTATTAATCTGGTATTCAGATTTATTAATGCCAATTAATTATTTAAAATTAATGTTTTAATTTTAAATAATGGTGATTCTGACATTAATATGTTATTTAGTAAGTTAGAAAATTATGTCACCTTGCTGTAGTTATTTTCATCAATAATATTTCAGTTATTGTTTTTTCTTCCAATTATTATTATTATTATTATTTATTATTATTATTATCATCATCAACGATAAAAAATAAACGAGACAAAAGCTCAGGCTCCAATCGACTGTTGCATATTTGCTGATTTAGAATCGGAAAATGTACGCCCAATAACGCAGTTGTTTCACACGCTACGACCTGATGTTGCGGTTCTGCGGAGTGGAAAAATAGAGGTGATCGAGTTAACATACAGAAAGCATGCTACCATCAGTGGCGGATTCAGACCATGAAAAATGAAAATATTGAAGATCAGTGTTGAATGTAGCAATCAAGTAAACGGAAAAGAGCCTACTCTCATCCAAACAATATAAAAGTGAAAAGTACAAAAATCTGAAACAACATTTAAATAATAACTTAATAAACTACTCTAACAGTTAACACATTTGAAATATCGCCAATTGGTTTTTATAATAACTTGAACCTATCTATTTTTAAAACTACATGGCCAAATTATTTTAATGTAAAATTAACTAATACTGTTATTAGCTCGACATATAGTATTTATTGCGAGGGAAACAATGCTTAATTAAATGTATCTTTCACTCCTATGCACTTGCAGCTTCATCGAGCCTAGGAGGATCGTACATTTCATTAAAACTCAATTTTTATTAAACTTCATTTCTTATTTTTTATTATTTTGAATTGTATTTTGTCGATTGATTAAATAAAATATGTTCACATTATTATTATTATTATTATTTCTTTACGGTAATAAGTTTTCTAATTGAATGAAATTTATTGCTGCCTATAAATTTCAGTTGCGTTTCATTCTTTCGTTCGTTTACTCATTTGGCCCCGATCAATTTTTCTCGAAATTTATTGTCTTTTTTTGTTTTTGTTTTTCATTATTAACGTTGTTTCATCATCATCATCATCATCATCACCACCACCATCATCACCATCATCACCATCATCACCATCATCATCATTATTTTGATCACCATCATTACCAATAGCGTCGTTTTCGTCACCATCATTACCATCTATATCTTCATCATCATCATTAATATTATTCTTCTCATCTATATCATCTTTACAATAATCATCATCATCATCAATATTATCATCATCATCTATATAATCATCTATATAATCATCATCATCATCATCATCATCATCATCATCTATATAATCATCTATATAATCATCATCATCATCATCATCATCATCAGTTTCATTATCATCCACATCATCACCTTTCTATTAACACGGAAACTCGACTCCCGCCACGACAATTAGCAACTTCCGGCAAGGGGCAAGGACACGTGACTTACGATGAAAAAAATGTAAGCAATACGTCATCCCGTGTTCACGTCATGCTTGCGTACACATCGTCATCATTATCTTCATCACCGTTGGCGTCGTCTTCGTGTAATTCTACAAACAACAACAACAACATGAAATTGTTGTACTTCGTCACCATTATAGTTGTTTCGTCAACATTACTCTTATAGCTCTTTGTCATTATTATTATTATTATTTATTCTTATTTTATTATTTTTATTTTTTTATATCAATATTATTTTTATTATTTTATTATTTATATCAATATTATTTTTATTTTTTTTATTTTATTATACCAATATTTTTATTATAGATATTTTTGTATTTTTTTGTTCAACGGAGTAGTTGATATCTCTATAAGTAGTGATAATATTTTTTTATCGTTTTAATGAAAATAATCCAACAATGTTGATACGTCAATAATCAATAGCAATAATAACATTGAAGCCAACTACAACAACATCAGCAACAACAACAACAACAACATTAACAACAACAACAACATTAACATAAACAACAACATCAACAACAACTTCAACAACAACATCAGCAACAACATCACCACCACTTCCAACAACAACAACATCACCAGCAACAACTATAATAACCATCATAGATCACATCATCAACTAAAACAAAAATTTTTCGTGACCAAATTTAACTGGTCAAATTTGGTTCACATTTACAAATCTATCGGGTTTTTATAATTTTTTTCTTCTTCTTCTTATTATTATTGGTGTTCTTTTTTCTGTTAGTTTTCAAATTCTGACGGACGCAAAACATGAATAAAAAATAAAAAAAAAACAACTATCATTCCAAAAAAAACCAAACAATCGAAATCGGGGATGGCTCGTTTGTGACGTCAAATGATGGAACGACTTTTTGTAGACATCTTATTACTTCTGTTGTTTAATGTACGTAATCATTAAAAGAAATTTAACTTCAACGACTTTCTTTTATCAGTTCTTAAAATTATTTAAAATTTATTTTACTGTGATATTTTTTTTCTGTAATAATATGTTGTGTGTTGCAAATTCAGAACTTGCCATCCACCGCCTGTATCCCCCGTAACGAAATCTTAAACCCCACCATTCTTTGATAGCTGTGTAGTTTTCAAGTGGCTTTCAGCGAGAATGTGTTTGAAGAACATCTGAAGTAGAGGAACTAATTAAAACTGAAATAATCAACATCAAATAATAAGCAAATAGTTATTTCTTGTTTATTTAAAGGGCGAATTTTTGTGATGTTTGTTTATTTAATCATTTGTCTGCTATTCAATGGTAAAGCTTTTATTCATTTATCTATTTATTCAGTTGTTTTTTCAGTTTTTTATTCATTCATTCATTCATTTGTTCGTTCATTCGTTTGTTCGTTCATTCATTCATTCATTCCTTCATTCATTCATTCATCCATTTATTCATCTATCCATCGATCCATCCATTCATTCATTCGTTCATTCATTGATTTATTAAAAATTTGAAAAAAATATTTCACGATTGAAAATCGTGAAAAAATCACGCAATCCCATTAGAAAGTACTGGAAAAATGTTTTATTTTTTCGATCAAAAAATATTGTGTTTGATGTGAGGACAAAAAAAATTTTTTTTGTCAGAACATAATCTGGCTAATGGAAGTTGAAAAAATGTTAGAAAATAAATTAATGAACCATTCCTGGGATGAAATTGAACGACTGAATGAAAAACATATCTAAGAATGAATGAATGATAGGCTGGATAAAATAGCTGGATCAGAGGTGAATATGGGTCCTTTTTTACTCACCCAAACTAACCCATCATTCACTCAACCCATCTCAACCCATCCCGCCCGAAGATGCAAAATCTCAACCCAACCCACCATCTCCACGAGTTGCAATTTTAACAGACAGTCAAACTTTTACAAATAATATTTGAAACGCAAAACTCATAAATAGAAGCTCATATTTGAAATAAAATAACTGGCAAAGTAATCACACTGCAAGTTTCATTAAACAACATGAAAATTAACTAAAATTCAAATGTTGTAATGATTTACTTTGTTTTTTTTTCATTGGTTTATAGTCATCGT